TCTCGCAGCTGAGACCCCGCCGCTGCCGCCTCCTCCAGCGGTGCGCTGCGTACGCGCTGCGCCGAGAGAGTTCCTCAAAGAGAGAAGCTGGCCGAAACTTTACAAATCACTCGGGCGATTTCGATGGGGAAATCGGTGCAGCCGTCTGGGGCGCTCGGCCGTGCGCCTCGCGCCTCGCGCTTCGAGTGCCGGCACTGTGAATGGGGAGCGGACGGGTGCTTCACCCTGTCACGCCCACCCACCGGCCCGCAGCCCACCGCCCAGGCACCTGGCCAGTGGCTGTACTCACTCCATGCTATGCAGCGGGTGCCACACAGTGGGCCAGAAGACCGGTGGAGGCGGACAAAACTCTGGACGCGTTTTGAGCTCCAGAGTCGCTAAATGGGACTCAAACCGAACGTGTGACCCCAGCAATGGATTCCTCGTTCGGAAAGCCATCCACGTTCGGTTCGAGTCCCATTCAGCGACTCTGGAGCTCAAAACGCGTCTCGAGCTTTGGCCGCCTCCACCGGTCTTCTGGCCCACTGTGCGCCGCCCCGCCGCCCCTCCCGCCCCAGCGCTGGCCACTTTGGCAAGCCGCGGAGGTATACGGTCGGCCAAAGCGATAACAGATGTCGGTGTCTCGCCCACGCTCGCGCGGCTGCGGGCGGCGGGGGTGGGGGTGGCCGAGTTCCGGGGGACCGAGGGTTGTGGTGATAGGTGGCGGGGGAGGGGGCTGCATCGGGGTCCTGTGACGACAGACGAACCCTCCACAACCTTCAACAGCATGTCACATCACTTGTGCCGCGTCGCCATGACACGCACACGCACACACAAACACACCTACACGTACACACACACACACACACACACACACACACACACACACACACACACACACACACACACACACGACCACACGCCGCTGCGAGGGGCTGCCTTTGAGCGGCGCAGAGCAGGACAGCAGCATCGGTGTGCCGCGGTATCCACACACACACACACACACACACACAAGCGCGCGGCCTATAACATCCACCACACGGGGCGCCTCGAAAAGTGTTTGCTTTTAATTTCCCTGCTCTGTCGGCACCGCGGCAGGCCCTCCGCCGCGCCGCGCCACGCCGCGCCCTCGTCGGCGATACCGCCGCTAACTAAGTGCGGCGTCGAGGAGGCGAGGCGACCCTCGCCGCCGCGCTATCGGCCGGCACCTGCCGCGGCGTGTTTAATACCGATCTAATCTGCCGACGGGTCCCGAGAGTCCCTTCCGCCCCTCTGTCTCTGTCGCACTCATGGGGCGTGCCGTGTCGGTGCGAGAGAGACAGAGTGACGAAAACGACTCTCGGGATCCGTCTCCTGGGCGTCCTGGCTTCGACTTTACCGTGAGAGAACACATGACGGTGCCTGGCAAGCCGTCCCGTGCGTCTCTGTCTCACGCGGCGTGCCTGCGAGAGGGACGGAGAGAGCGTTGAAATGCGTGCGAGAGAGACGCACAGTAAATGTCTTACGGTGAAAGGCTGCACCAACATAATATGGTGGAGATTTTCTCCATAATACCAACGAAAATCGTCGAAATCTCTATAAGGTACAGTGAATTCTCAATGGTATGTTACGAAGTCAGCTGCACCACCATAATATGGAACATTTTCACCATAATATGGAGAATCCTCACTGTAGAACATTTAGAGTGCGGAGATTGCCGTGCCGGCCACCCGTATTCCCCGACTAATGGCGGCATGACGACCACCTTATCGGCGCCCCACCGACGGCGCTCTGTCTCTCTCGCTCCCAAACGGGACGCCCCGTGAGTGCGAGAGAGACAGAGCGACGGCGGCCCGCGTTTCCATGTTCCATGTGGAGCGGCCTCCCCTTCCCTGGTCCGCGGCGGCGGCGCGGCACCGACCTGCCCACCGCTCCAGGCGAGGCCGCCGTGGACGCCGTCGTCACGCCGGCGTAACTACAACTGGATTATTCGGCGCGAGATGGGGTCGCCAAGTTGGCCGGCGCCACCGGGTGGGCGGGGCGGGGCGGGGCGGGCCGGGGCGGGCCGGGGCGGGCCGGGGCGGGGCGGGGCGGGGCGGGGCGGGGCGGGCCGCTGACGCGTCCTGAAGCAGTGTGCATGGGGCCGGCCCTGTACGTTTCGGACCTAACAAGCCTCGTCTGGCAGTATATCAAGTTCTCTCTCGGGATATCGGAGACGTGACAGCACTGCGTGGGGCCGAGGCGGGGCGGGGCGGGGCGGGGTGGGGCGGGGCGGGGTGGGCAGCAGCAGCGGGGTCCACTCGATATAATACATCAAATATCACTCGAATGCGTGGAGGGCAAAGGGCTGGGCCGGCAAACCAGCACCGCCACTGCAAACAGGGCTGCTGCGCAAACAGCGGCCGTATTGGGGGCGGAGGGAGTCCGCCGCGCGCCGCGACGCCGCGCTGCAAAGCACTAAGTGTGTGTGTGGTGGGGGGGGGGGGTGTCAGGGCCGCCAAAAGTCCTATCTGAGGCGCGAGCGCCTGCAATCGGCAGGGTAGGCACTCCGCGTGCACGGGTGCACCGAGACCGCGACATTGCCTACCCAGCACGGCGCTCGCTCCAAGACAAGAGACAGAGGTTTCACTGGCCAGCCAGCGAAGCTGCGACACGAATCGGCCAAGTCCAGATCAATCAAGTCAAGATAACCCAGCGAGTATACTAAAAACGAAAACTCATGGGATTTGCGATTTTGCTTTCACTTCACAGGAGTTACGTAACACATTCGTTGCTCAAAAGAGGAGGGCGACGCCCTTATCGAATTTTTGTGGGTCGAATTCCCCCCACCCCCACCCTTTATTCTTTTTATTTCATTTCCGGTGCTCTTGATGTGTGTCCTTCTCTCTGAGTGTGCGTGTGTGTGTGAGCGAAAGGCCTTCACCGGTGGTCACCCTCTGATTATGGCCCCGACGTTCTGCATCGGCGGCAAGGGAACTAATTAAGCCCTCCAGCAAGCCTCGACCAAAGGGAGCCGTTTAACAAGCGAAATGTAAACAACTTTCCACGCAGTCGCCTCACCAGGGGGACGACGGCACGGGTTAGAATCCTGAGCGAATGGAAGTGGGAGGGAAGGGGGGGGAGAGAAAGTCAACTTGGAGTTTCTTCCTTGTCTGCGACTCGCCCGCCAAAGGGGTTGGGAGGAGGATTGAGTTGATACCTGCGTCGCGACGGCTATGATACCTCATGGAATCCAAGCCGAGCCGAGCCGAGCCGAGCCGAGCCGAGCCGAGCCGAGCCGAGCCGTGCCGTGTCGTGCCGAGCCGAGCCGAGTCGTGCCGGGCCGTGTCATGCCGAGCCGTGCCGAGCCGGGCCGGGCCGGGCCGGGCCGGGCCGGGCCGAGCCGAGCCGAGCCAAGACGAGCCAAACCGAGCCGAGCAAACCGCTTGGCATATTCCCCGAGGATAATGTCGGGGAAATTGCAATAAGATGACGCGGGCCTCGCGGTGTGCGTGTCGTGTACACCGTGAAAAAGAAAAACGTTTCGAGAAAGGGGGAGACATTCTGACAATTAAAACAGAAAATCAAAGACTGAGGTAGGTATTTCTAGCAATGCGCTTAGTGCGAAAATTTTTGCTGTCACTTCATGACAATTTGTGAAAATTTGCCTTGGAATTATTCCAAGGCAAATTTTCACAAAAAGAATGTCATAAAATCTTGTGGAAGCCAAAAAAAATTCGTCAATTTATCACGAAATTGTCACCATTTTAACGAGATGACAGTGTCATGCACGATATTGCCGCAAAAAGACGACAAATTTTCACAGTGCTCGCACCCAAAAGCGTCAACGTGACATCCGCCGGCTCGACGGCCTGCTCGGGGTGCTCGGCGAGGCGGCCCAGCCTGCGGGGGGGGGGGCGCCGCAGAATATCTGGGAATGGAGCCACGCACCGCGACCGCGACACTGCGACACTCCACTTCCAGTGGCGCTCCGCTCGCCTCGCTCGCTTCGCTGCTCGCGGGATTACCGATGTTATCATTTCCTGACCCCAGAGCGCTCGGCGGCGCTCGACGCGCGGACGGAATCCCCGGCCAAACTCGGCGGCGCGGCGTCGCGGCGCTGGCGTCGCTATTTACTTTCCGGAGCGCCATCGCCCTGGAGGAGCCCGAGCAGCCCGGCGCACAGTGGGCCAGAGGACCGGTGGAGGCGGCCAAAACTCTAGACGCGTTTTGAGCTCCAGAGTCGCTAAATGGGACTCGAACCGAACGTGTGACCCCACCAATGGATTGCTCTCCGCACGAGGAATCTAATGGTGGGGTCACACGTTCGGTTCGACTCCTATTTAGTGACTCTGGAGTTCAAAACGCGTAGAGCTTTGGGCGCCTCCGCCAGACTTCTGGCCCACTGTGCGTCCCCGAGATCCGCGACGGCTTGGCTCCGTGTGCCGAGGCTCTACTCGCGGAGCCGCGGCCGGCTTAGGACGCACGGCGCGCAAAGCGGCAGTTGTCGCTCTGTCTCCCTCGCACGCTTGAAGCGCCCCGTAGGGATGCGAGACAAGGGCGGATTTAGAGGGGGCAACAACAGGCCCTCTGGCCCTGAGAAAGCCGCGTAAAAGGCGGACAAAAGGCAACACTTTGCCCCCGTAAGTAGGCCACAAGTATCGCTTTGCCCCTGCAAGTAGGCAAGAAACGCTACTTTGCCTTTCCCTCCCTCAGGCCCATTCTGGATCCGCCGCTGGTGCGAGAGAGACAGAGCGGCCTAAATCAGAATGAGCCTGTGGACGCTCGGTGTTGGGGATCCACTCGAAGCCACATCTCCTGCCGAGCGTTTCAGAAGATCGGTTTGTCGCTCTGCCTCTCTCGCACAGTGGCCCAGAAGACCGGCGGGGGCGGCCATAATTCTAGACGCGTTATGAGCTCCAGAGTCGCTAAACAGGTCTCGAACCGAGCGTGTGACCCCACCAATGGATTCCTCGTTCGGAGAGCAATCCATTGGTGGGGTCACACGTTCAATTCGACAGACAGAGCGACGGTGCGACTCCACACGCCACGACGACGCTTACCTCGACGGGCTCCAGGTGGCGGTTCTCGTGCGTCATGATGATGCCGCGGACGTCGCCGTACTTGGTGTGCACGATGCGCGAGTTGAGCAGGGCCTGCGGGGCGTTGGCGGGGGCGTTGGCGGGGGCGGGGTCGGCGGCGGCCGCTGCGGCCGGGTCCGCGGCCGCGTGCTGGGCGACGTGCAGGGCCGCGTCCAGCACCAGGAGGGACAGCAGCAGCGGCAGCAGCGCCGCGTGGGCTCGGCGGGCTGGGCGGGCCGGCGCGCGGCGGACTCCGCGCGCTCCGCGCCCCATGCTGCGGACGCCGCGTCACATGCCCCCTGCAACACATCAATTACCCAGTGAGCGCGCTGAATAAACCACTCCGAGCACACCGCCGCCAAACCAGTCCATAGGACCACTGCGAAAAAGAGGAAAAAATGTTGCAATAAAAAATGGAGGAGCAGGCCCAACACAACAGCCACCAACATGTGTGCGTAACCAGCAGCGCGGCGTTCACTGTAAAGCCGCGGCGTCGCATGTCGGTGAGTAAAAACAGACGGACGGTCGTACTAACAGACAGACGCTCACACACACACATACGCCCACACACACTTGAGCACTCAGCAGGAGCCCCGCGGAGGGTGCCGTCGTCAGTATATTGCGTCCCCCGGGAGGTATTGGCGAGGCGGCGGCGACGCGGCGACGCCCAAACTGAAACAAGTTTGAGGACATCCGCCGGTGAACAGCTTTCTGGGTGAGTGACTTTGAGCGAATAATCCAGGTGTGGCAGCCCGTGATTCCCCCGATATGGAGTGACGGCGGTTGCGTGCTCGCCGGCCGTGCACCCCTTCCCCTCCCTCCCCTCTCTTCATCCCCCTCCCTCCCTTCCCTCTGCCACCCGCATCACGCCCCCGCGCGCCCCCGTGGGAGTACGACGGCATATCTATTGGAAACATGTGCCAATTGGGGGGGGCACGCAAAGGCAGGGATGCATTAACCAGACCAGGGGTGGGGCGGGCACACGAGCGACGTGGGCGACGTCACAGTGGGCCAGAAGACCGGCCGGCGCGGCCAAAATTCTAGACGCGTTTTGAGCTCCAGAGTCGCTAAACGGGACTCGAACCGAGCGTGAGACCCCACCAATGGATTCCTCGTTCAGATTGAGTAAAAACGCACTTGCAAATCACAGGATACTCTCCTACCAGAAATGGCATTACAAATGTTAAATGGACCAACATTATGGGCGATTCGAGTTAATTTTTCACAGTGCAGCGTTGTTATCGTTGGCCCGTTAGGCCGGATTGGCTGAGCGCATGCGTGGCGCGCACGGCCTATACAGCCCGGGCCTCCACTGCTAGCGGGCCCAGCGTCCGCCCTATCGGAATTCCAGCGTTTTGGTGTCCGTCTTCATTGATTAAACCGGAACAGCCGCCTGGGGGAGAGGGGGGCAACGATTTACTGCCCCTGGGGCCGTCAATAAAGCAAAACAAATAATAAATGGAGCCGTTCGCTCCGGCGGGCTGGCGCGGGTCGCGCGGAGGAGAGGCGCGGCCGCGTGTGGCGGTGACATTTTATTCGTCCAAGTTTCGGCCAGTTGAGTGGGCGGAGAACTAAGAGCCGCGTCCGTTCGAGGGGCCGGGCGTTAACTTGGCGAAGCTCGAGAGGCACCGGAGGCACCGGCAAGGCAGAAGGCAGCCCGAAAGGCAGGCCAAAACGCAGATCAGAAGGAGCTAGAAAGGCAGACTGAAAGGCAGACTGAAAGGCAGACTGAAAGGCAGACTGAAAGGCAGACTGAAAGGCAGACTGAAAGGCAGACTGAAAGGCAGACCGAAAGGCAGACTGAAAGGCAGACTGAAAGGCAGACCGAAAGGCAGACTGAAAGGCAGACTGAAAGGCAGACTGAAAGGCAGACTGACAGACTGAAAGGCAGACTGAAAGGCAGACTGAAAGGCAGACTGAAAGGCAGACTGAAAGGCAGACTGAAAGGCAGACTGAAAGGCAGACTGAAAGGCAGACCACAGGGGGCTCGGAAGGTAGGCAGACAGACAGGCAGGCCAACGATCCCCAAAGACAAGCCGAGTAGAGTTTCTTTCAACCAACAAGACGAAAAGTGCGAGGAGAGGGGTGTACTTGTCCCGCTAATTCGTTGCTATGGATCTCTTCCCCCTCCCCCCTTTTCCTCCGAAATGTCCGGACTGAACCCATTTTGGCACTGTAAACGCACTCGGCAGTAACGGTGGTCATTTTTTAGTCCTTGTTACTGCTCCATAATCAGACTTGTTCTGCCAGACTTCAAAGTTACCACCGAAAATGATGTCGACGTGCTGGTCTCGCAGGGCGAGAGCAGTCGTCGTCCCCCGCCGGCTCCAACGAGTTTTCCATAATTTTGACGGTGTACCCGTAATGGCGCCAGCCCTCGCGGGCGTCCGAGCGTGGCGTTTGGCCCGGGGGGAAACCAGGCCAGGGACACTAGGCTAAATGTTTGCTGTGTTGTCAATAGTCACCGATCCCGGCGCTTATGCCGCTTCTCCATCAAAGGGCCTGGCCCACCCCCCATCCCCCTGGCCTGGAAGCCACCGGACCTCTTCCCTCATTTCTCCTTGGCAATTATGTGTGCTCCCGAGCCGAGCCGGCTGGAGCGGCCGAAGCCCATTTGTTGGAGCAGACCCCTAAAACCACCCTTCGCGTGGCGCCCGGCGCAAGCGGCGCAAGCCCTGCTGGGCCTGCCGGGCCATGCCGGCGGTGAAACGCCTACCATCGCAGGGGACTCCAGTTCATCCGGCCTGGATTTCTCAGCTCATAAAAGCACAGACCCAGAATTCTGTTTCGAGATTTTCCATGGTGGGGATGTGCGAATAGTTCGGTATCGAATCGAATCAGGGGTGATTCGATTCGATTCGAGGACGGATCTCTTTGCTTCAAACCCGAATAGTATTCGAAATTTTCGAATCGACAGTGGTTCGTCTTTGAATCAGTTGCTCGGGAACGGTTGAAAGTCGCGCGCATAGCGTTGTTTTTATACCAAAGCAAAGATCAGATATTTGATTTTTCTTCTTCTTGTATCCGCCTTTCCTTTATAACAGAAAATGTGTTTTGAAACGCACTTAATTTTTTAGTTTCAGTTCGAATTCGATTCGATTCTGAATCTCTAAAAGTTCGATTCGATTCGACAACTTTTTCCAGATTCGATTCGAGTTCGATTCGAAACTTTTTTTAAAGATTCGATTCGATTCGATTCGAAATGAAAATCCTTGATTCGCACATCCCTATTCCATGGCCTTCCTCTGCCATCCACACTGTTATTCAACGAAAGTGACGACACTACACTCTAAATGTAGGGTGCCCAGTAACTGGGCGCCTTTGTCACCCGCCCCACTTTTTAGAGTGCCAAATGTCGCCCAGTTTCTGGGCACCTTTGTCGCCCAGTCTCGGGGTGGACAAATCATACAGTAACCGGCCCTCTCCGAGGGTAGAACATGTTCAGGTGTCTAGTTCCTGGGCGACTGAGGTGCCTAGATTCTGGGCACCTTTGGCACCTCAGTCGCTGCTGGTCATGGGTGGAGGCAGGTTCCTTAATGGTTTGTCCACCTCGAGACTGGGCGACAAAGGTGCCCAGAAATTGGGCGACATTTGGCACCCTAAAAAGTGGGGCGGGCGACAAAGGCGCCCAGTTACTGGGCACCCTACATTTAGAGTGTATTCGTTAGAATGTGCATTTTGTCACGTTTGAATGTGATGTCAGATTCGTTTGAATGTTGATCCACGCGTTCAAACGAATTCGACACCCGCACCAGCTGGCCGCATGGTGGCCGTGTCAGGTCAAACAAATGTGACAAAATTCACATTCTAACGAATAACGAATGTGATGTCACATTCGAGAGCAGTTGGAACGATCACACTCCCAAGTGACAACTGAGCCTTTTCTATGTAATGCGAACAAAAAACAATTTTGGCACCTTGTCTCACGCCTCCACGCGCGGCGTTGCGCTGCGTGGCGCCGGCCTCGTGCATTTCGGCCCCTACCCCGTACCCCTCGGGCGCGCCGAGTTCTGATCTCACCACCGACCCTTTCACGCACACACCCACGCACACACACCCACTCACACACACACACACACCCACGCACGCACACGGACGCGGACATCAAGCTCCGGGGCACTCAAACTAGTTCTCACTTTGGGCCGTGACAAAAGGGGCCCTCGGCCGCGGCGGCGGCGGGCCTCTGGCTGGCCTGACTGGCATTCCCCGAAGCGAGTTGCATGGCGGCCGGGACGGCCCCACCCCGCCCCGCCCCGCCACACCCCACCCCGCCCCGCCACACCCCACCCCACCCCACCCCACCCCACCCCACCCCGCTCAGCCACCAGGATTATTGCGAGCGAAAGGACGAGGCCGAAACATCGTCGCGAGTCGCGAATCGAATCGGGAAAGAAACGGACGCGACAGCCGCAACTTTTCAACTAAACCCCTTCCGAGAAAACATTTTTTCTCCCTTGAGGCGGCGCGGCGGCGCGGCGGCTTCGGCGACGCGCGGACGACCAAGACGCGCGGGGGCGCGGAGGGTAAATCAACAAGAAGAAGAAAGGGAAAAACTTGTATTCTTCTTTTGTTTTTTATGCGATTTCCGGGACGGAGCGGCGAACTCGGAGCAGCAGCAGGAAGAAAGTGATGACGACTCGGAGCACGGACCCCCGGGCCCACGGACCACGGGGACGGGGCGGACGGCGGGGGAGGGAATCGAATTACGCAGTGTTTGCTGGGGAAGCGAGAGCATGGCGAGAGGGTGGAGGCGCACGGCTTAATGACGTCACAACGCTCGACCAATCAGCGCATGTCCCGCCCACGTCCACCTCGGACCACCACGGTCTAGCACGGACCCCTGCGGCCACGGCCTAACCCAACCGTGTAACGCTTTCAGGACGTCGCATCGCTTAACCAATACAGTGCGCACAAGTCCTGCTCACGGCCCACATACCAGGGCCCACCATGACCCACCAGGGACCATGGCGCACCATGGCCCACCATGGCCCACCATGGCCCACCATGGCCCACCATGGCGCACCATGGCGCACCATGGCCCACCATGGCCCACCATGGCCCACCAGGGACCATGGCCCACCAGGGCGCACCAG